ATAGATATAGAGATAGATATAGATTATATAGATTATATAGTAGATATAGAGATAGATATATAGATATATTAGATATATATATATATATTATATATATATATATTATATATATATATATATAATATTATATATATATATATATATATTATATATACATAATATGGCTCCGTTAGTGGTCTGGTGGCGTGGGATGGATATGGACACACACACACACACACACATATATATATATATATATATATATATATATATATATATATATATATATATATATAATATATATATATATATATATATATATAGTGCAAGTGCACATGCGTGCGTGTGTACGTGCGTGCGGCGTGCGTGCGCGCGTTTTCTACAAAAATTTCAACGGCACAGAATCTGCGCACCTTGCATCCCCTCATAATCGAACTGCTCTCCCTTGTAAAGATTGCGTGTGTGAGATTGCTACACAAATCGTCCAGCGTGCAGGTGACACCGGTCCAGCTGGCGGCGTGCAGACCGCCACAATGGCCAATTGTCGACGATGTGTCCAGCCGAACCACAAACACTTGATACTTGAGCCTGATGTCGCAATAGCAAGTGCCGTTCGTCTGTTCCAGCGAGCTGCTGTCTCTGCAGACAATACACACGCCGCCACTCTGGTCTGGTCAGGCGGAGGAGCAGCCCGGAAACGCAGCCACCTGTCGCCAACAGCAGCAGCCAGCTATCGGATTCGCTCAGTCACGGCATGTGGATGTCATTAGTTCACTTGCAATAACAGGTTCGCTGCATCCAAAGACGGCACCAGCGAGCGGTCATTTCAATGCCGGCGGTGACCCGCACGGCGGCGGCGGCGGCGACTGCGGCCAGGTGACGCGCCGCAGGTCCGCTGGCGCAGGCCGTCGCCGGTGGACAACCAGCTGGCACCAGCGGAGCGCGCTGGCATGACGGCAGATCCGACGAGCCAACCGAGCGGGCGGAGAGGCAGCGGCGCACCTGCGCGCGGATGTCAGCGTGGGTTCCGCACCTCCCTCCCCGCCAGGCACGAGACCGCCCCTGCTTCCCCGACCGGGCCAAAACGGTCGCAACTCTCCGGCCTTTATGGTAGTGCACCGCGCGTGCGTACTCCGCTACTACCGTGTCGTAGGAGGCCACGTCCCGCTCACGGTGCTCCTCGCCCGGCTTTACCGCGTCAAGCCCACAGATACGGCTGGCTGGGGGTGCTACCACAGCACTGCTGTCGTAGTGAGAGCGCTGACTTTGGTGTCTTTCTGTGATGATGTATATGCTCCCACGCCGGAGCCGCTGTAGGAGTGGTTATCTTACCCCCACGCCGGGACCCGCTGCAGGGGCGGTTATCTCACTCCCACTCCTCCCCCCCCCCAGCCAGCTGCGGCAGGCCAGGCGGGGTGAACTGGCCCTGTTCGTATCTTAACGGTAGGATGGTGTGTTAGACACGGTTCGGCAGCACTTGCACCATCTGAGTTTTGCGCGATCTCTCGGCACGGCAAGGGTGCTGGGAAAGGGATTCTCGAAGGTTGTCTTATCCTGTTCGTCGCGGTGGCGTCATCGCACAATAAAACCCAGGACTTGTGCCGCGTTTTGCCGTTAGGCAACTCTGCAGGCCTTACGCAAGCGCTATGGTCACAAGCACCGGTGTGTCCAGGACAGGTGTAATGTGCGATGCTCTGATGTTCAACGCACGCCTTTGCGGGTTTTCACGCTTAGTTGGTTTATGCCCAGCACATGCAGAACCCAATTCTGCCCCCCCCCCCCCCCTCCACGTGCCTTGTCTGACTCCTCAGCACTGATATATCCGTTGCCAAGCCTGGCCTCACTCCAAACACGGTCCTCCTGGCTGATGTCGCTCGGCGCGCGCTGCTGCCGGCCGGCCGCTGATGCGTCCGGGCGGGTCCCGCGGACGTGTCGTCAGGGGGCGGGCCGCGTGCGTCCCGTCACCCGCCATCCGCCGCCCGCCGGCGGGTGGCCGCCTCAGCAGCGCGGCACCGGCGCACCGGCCGCTTTCTCCAGCGCCGGGCGGCAGTTCGGCCGCCGGCCGCAGTGTGGCGCTGATGGGCAACCGCGAGAGCCGGGGTGCGGGCAGCCGGCCGGCGGCAGTGACACGATGACCGGGATGGTGGTTGCGTGGGATGCGAGAGGCGTGGTACGCTGCTAGCGTGCTGCGCTGCTGCTGCCGCACACGCGGCGCCCAGGACAGCTACGAGACGCTGGAGAATGCGCCGTCCAAGGCGGGACATGCCGAGCGAAAGTCCGCGAGCTCTCGAGGAGTTCTTTGCGTGGAGATTGGAGGATAATCCGGAGTTCGCCACACAGGTAAATCGGAACGATCGAAGGGAAAACCGTCGAGTCAAAGATCTGGGAAACCGGAACTGGCAAGCAGAACAATGTGGGCTGCTCTCAGTTGCAGCGTTACCCACGCCACCGGCCCACAAACCCGCTGGTCGTCCTTTGCGCGTGTTGTAGCTGCCTTTTGCCTGACTCTTGAACTGCCAACGCATACCCAGAGCCGTGTGATAGAGTGATGACAGGCCACGGTTCAGCGGGCAGTGTTTTGCACAGCTGTCTGCTGTCACTGACGCCCGGGACGGGTTCATTTGGGGAAGGGGGCGGGGCAACGGACACGTGCAAATTTGCAAGCATGAATATGCATTACTATGCATGGAAATGAACGCTGGCAGTGAAAATTAGCAGAAGGCACGAAAGAAATAAGGGGATTGAAAACATGTGAGGCTGTTATAAGCCGTGCCAGAAATTGCGCTGATTCCATTGTGTTCCTCCATACGCCCCTAACAGACACCTTAGCGTGCATTGGAACCCTATCGTTCATCAGTGGAACACGCCCGATTAGCATTAATACCTTTGCACAACGTGAAAGTTCGTTTTTGCCCGGGCCTCGATGCGGGGGACTCCCGGGCCTGGTCTGGAGCCAGGATCCGGCCGTCGGTAATGCGCTGATATCACGCCCCCGTGCCCCGTGTACTGGCTACACCTGACAGGTCTGCCGGCCGCGTGCAGGTGGAGGGATGCGGGGGCAGTCATCCAAGGGCGCCTGCGACAGGAGCGGCAACATCCGAATCGCGTCTGCGTATTCCGCGGAGCGCCCCTTCCATCGCCGCCCCCCCCCCCCCGCCCTACCCCCGTTAGGTTATCCGGTCAGCGTCAGAAAATTCTCTCCAGTTCGCTCTGCGAGTCTCTATTGACCAATTCTCCCATTCTCCCTCCTCTAAGCTCTGTTAAGTTGATGACTCCAGCGGGCACCGTCGCGGGACCGCAGAATGCGGGCTGGTGGCGGACGTTCCCGTTCTGTCGGACCAGTTGGACCCAGGTGTGTCCTATTTTAGACGGGACCTGGCAACCGGCTGACCGAGATCGGGTGGCATGTGTGACCGAGACCTGGTGGTCAGGCGACGCCCGAGGCGGACTTGTCTGTGAGGTGGAGGTGCGTTATGTGGCAGCCGCCCAGCAGGCCCCATTAGGATTACCACCTCAAACCGTTTCCTCTCTTAAAGCGGCGCTGTCGCCGAGCTGTAACAGCCGTCTGAATCACGGCATGAATTTATTCATTCGCGTAATTGAGTAAGAATAGTGCCAATAAACCAACAGTATCTAGGTGGACGTTGGATGTGGGCATAAGGACAGGAAGGACGAGACCCCGGTGCTGTTAGAGTGATGTACGGGCAAAGCCCAACTTCTACCAGTCTTCCTCTCACCCCGCCGCGGCTGGCCAGCCCACTGTCTGTGTCCCGGCCTGCCCCTCTTTCCCCTGCCGCCCCCGCGGGCCCGCCGCCCGTCCGGCGTCCTCGACCCGAATACCAAGCGGCAAACCTTTATCTGGTTTTCAAGCGGCACCCCGAGCCGGCGTCGCTCCGAGAGTCTCAGTACGCTGCTCGGCTAGTGCAGCTATCGAGAGTCTCTCTGGGTCTTGCAACCCCCGATAGGCTGGTCCATCACTGATCTAGATCACCATAATTTGAGCCTTGCACCATCGAAAACGAATCTGTTGCAAGGCTTTACAACAACGGGTTTTCTCAACACGCGGCACCCGTCGATGGGCAGGTCGGCCGGCGACCTCCACGCCGGTTGGCGTACGGGGCCGGACCGGCCGGCCACCGCAGCCGGACCGGCCGGCCACGGCAGCCGGACCGGCCGGCCACCACAGCCGGGCCGGCCGGC